AGTCGCTGAGCTTGTTGACTTTGCTGCCGCCTGTCGTCTAGACTACGCCGCTAGCCTTGTTGCTGAGTCTGAGTCTGTCTGTCCTCCGTCCGTCGGGGGTGAGTGTGCTCTTGGCACGGACGTCCTTGAGGACAGACAGGAGGAGTATGAGTGCTTTGCCGCTGCTTTACCTCATCTCGTGTCCATGCTGATTGCCCCTGAGGGAGACCCGGATGCACTAGACATCCCGACCCCACGCTCTTACGCAGAGGCGATGGAGGGTCTCTACTCCTCTCAGTGGCAGACAGCCATGGACGCAGAGATGGCTTCCTGGAAGTCCACAGGCACCTACGTCGACGAGGTTCCCCCACCTGGGGCGAACATCGTCAGTGGCATGTGGATTTTCAGGGTGAAGCGGCCGCCGGGTTCTCCGCCTGTCTTCAAGGCGCGTTACGTTGCACGAGGCTTCAGTCAGCGAGAGGGAGTTGACTTCTTCCAGACCTTCTCCCCGACCCCGAAGATGACCACTCTTCGGGTTCTGCTGCACGTCGCCGCTCAGCGTGACTACGAGCTCCACTCTCTTGACTTCAGCACTGCTTTCCTACAGGGCAGCCTGCACGAGGAGATCTGGCTGCGCCGCCCACCTGGCTTCACTGGGTCGTTCCCTCCTGGTACCCAGTGGAGCCTCCGGCGGCCAGTCTACGGTCTCCTGGTACACTGAGGACTACTCTTGCTGCTCTTGGGTTTGCTCCTTCTACTGCTGACCCGTCGCTATTCCTACGCACCGACACCACTGTGTCGCCGTTCTACGTTCTCGTGTACGTAGACGACTTGGTCTTTGCTACTGCTGACACTGAGGCACTCGCCCACGTGAAGTCGGAGCTGCAGAAGAGACACACGTGCACAGACCTGGGTGAGCTGACAAGCTATCTTGGCTTGCGGATCACCCGGGACAGAGCACAGCGCACCATCACCTTGAATCAGTCACACATGGTGCAGCAGGTCCTTCAGCGCTTCCGCTTCACGTACTCCTCGCCTCAGCCCACTCCTCTGCCTACCGGTCACTCGCTCTCAGCTCTGCCTTCGGATGAGTCCGTAGAGCCGAGTGGCCCGTATCCAGAGCTTGTGGGCTGCCTCATGTACCTGATGACCTGCACTCGACCTGACCTTGCATACCCTCTTAGCATCCTAGCACACTATGTCGCTCCTGGCCGTCACCGGAAGGAGCACATGGATGCCGCTAAGAGGGTGTTGCGCTACTTGTGCAGTACGTCGGGCATGGGGCTTGTGCTTGGAGGACGGCGCGACGTTGTCCTCACTGGACACTCAGACGCTTCTTGGGCTGACGACCAGGCTACGCAGCGGTCGTCTCAGGGTTACACCTTCAGTCTTGGCTGTGGCTCAGTTTCTTGGCGTTCTACACGCTCGTCTTCAGTTCTCAGCTCCAGTTGTGAGGCTGAGATCTACGCCACAGCCATGGCTGCCCAGGAGCTACGGTGGCTCACCTACCTGCTGACTGACCTGGGAGAGCGGCCTCGTTCTCCTCCAGTGCTGTACGTCGACAACAAGGCCGCCCTTGCCTTGTGTCAGGAGCACAGACTGGAGCACAGAACGAAGCACATCGCTCTGCGCTACTTCCTTGCTCGAGAGCTGCAGCAGCGTGGTCAGCTTCGTCTTACCTACGTGGCCACTCGGGCCAACACTGCTGATGTGTTCACCAAGGCGCTTCAGCCTTGTGATCATCAGCGTTTCTGTACTGTTCTAGGCCTTGTGCCTACTGTCCCTCACTTGCTCACTTCTTGACTCTGCTTGTACTGTGATATCTATATATATACCTGCATGCTTACACTTGCTAGGTTGTGATCACTGTACCTCTTGTTATATTATCAAACTGCATGTGAACTGGTCTTGTGACCACTTGCTTGTGCTCGGAATTTGTGTGGTATCCTTGAGATCCACCCTGAGCTTGTTTTTTGCTTTGATTTGACTGTTCTTGTGACCCCTTGCTCTCCCCCACTTAGCCTATGGGGGTGTGTCAAACATTATACTTGCATATATTTGTGTAGGCTATAGTGAGTTAGCCTTCTAGGGGGTACACTACTCTAGGTTTGTGGTACTTGTACTCCCATTCTCCTTCTAGTTCATCATTCTCATTCTCTCTAAGTTTCTAACATATGTCATGCTGCACTGCTTTTGCTACGAAGGACCCTCCCCTTGAAGAGTAGATTCAAATCTAACGATTTTCACTGTCGTATTCTATGTGTACTCCCTTCGCCATAAGCTGAACGACAAAAAGGAGATTGTTACAAATACCATGCACGATAAGAACGTGCGAGATCCGAAGAACGATGTCAGTTTCTGAAGACTGAAGAATGATTGTTCGTTGACGACATGTACGTAGATTCTGATTATTTGCAACTGTAACAGTGACCCTATGATGAAGTCGTTCTTCATGCTTGATGAAGAAACCGTTGTTGATGTTTGGCGTGCACATGTGTTGTGCACAGCAAGTATCGAGGAACTAGACGTTGGGACCATACCCAACGTTTGCGGTGGCATTAGCGTACTGAGGATTAATATATAGCGACTTTGAAATCGTCTCCATGACTTCATCTGGTGTAGACGTTGGATGTGAGCCAAGGAGACAAGAGTTAGTTATAGTCATCCATGCTACCCTATTACGAGGTTGTGACGAAGTCCCTGTTGTCTGTGTCTTGTGTTGAGCACTAGAAGCAGTTGCCGCAGCTATCTGTAACGGAGCAGCAGCTAGGCGTCGTGGTTGTGATTGTTGAAGCTTACGACAACTATCACGAAAGTGTCTTGAAGATTCGCAGTGATGACGAAACGGAGGTACGTAATGCTGTTACGGTTGTTGTTGCTGTTGTCGTTGCTGCCGTAAATACTTATGCCAGTATCGTTGACAAGGCCATACAACCTTGCAAATAGAATGGAAGATCAACCGATTGACTTTCTTATTGCTTTTGTTGCCGTACAGGTCCATGTCCTGCTGCTGGGCTAGAAGGGTTGCTCAGAGGTGCATCTCGAAGACGTTGCCCTAGGCACGAAGAAGCGAGTATGTTTGGCACCACTAAGGACCTTCCATCAATGACTGCGGTGACGAACATGTCGTCAGGGAAGTGCCCACCGCTCCGGAAATACTAATAACGTTGTTCTATGCACATGTTGATGTAGAGCAGCGCCGACTGACGCTCCTGTTTCTGGTGCACTATCGAAAGTTGTGTCACAAGTAAGCTTTATGTAACAATGTCAGTAGTCTAATATGACCGCTTCATGTATGCCACACAAGTTTTGCTGAGTTCTCTGAGTGGTAAGTAGCGAACGTTGTTGTGACCAGGAGAAATGAGTTGTACCCCCTAAGATGTACCCCACTATAGCCTAACATATCTAAAAGAAATATAAACAGTTTGACAGGAAGTTCCTATTCAATGATGTACTTGTGTGTTCAATCGAGCCTTTACTGAGTGATAACTTCTAAAAGGCATTTCCAATGTAACGCGCGAATGGTCACGAGACTATTCACGCATTTTTTTATCTACATTCTCTAGCTGCTAGGAATTACCTCAGTAACTTGTAGAGTCACAAATTTTGCTAACTAGCAGTAATATTATATTGTTCACGTGTTTAAACCAGTGACCAACAAGTTACAAGCGACATTACTGATCGCTCACTTGTATTTTTGTGACTTTACGTGTTACTGAGGTCCTTGTTAGTGACCATCGGTGTGCAGTTGTTTCCTTTCAAACAGTGGGGAAGTATTTTGCACACGCCTGTCTTATCTGCTGAGTGACGACGAATGTGTTACACACCTGGCGGATGTTGTTCTCCAACGGCCCCAGAACGTTTAAAGGTTTGGATAAGTAGAGCCCCTTTTTTTTCTCGCCCTGTTCTCCTGGGTCGTTGTTTTGACACTGGTAAATTCGTCATCAGTATAGCCGTTCATTCTCGTACCTCTTATACGAGGACCTTCAAGGCCAACTCAAACCACCATGTAGGTTCTAGTCGAAATGACCCTCGGGCTCATTTAACAGAAGGGTAGTTACCCTACAGCATAGTGTGGTACATTCAAATGCTCCAAGCATCACACTTGGACTATCGGTCGTCCCAAACGGGCAAGCTTCCACTGGAGATTTGGTCCCAAACTCTTGTGCCCTCTCTGTGAAGCTCGTTCGATCGTCCTCTCTTCTCTCTCTCGCATCTCCGACAGATGCATGCGTGAGTTCAGCAGAAAGCTCCTTTCATCGTCTCGCCAATACAGATGGGTGATTCTCAGGCGCTGCGGGTTACCTTTAGAAGCTTTTGGATCAGATCAGATAAGATTAGACATACACCGTTGTGTATCGAGATTGGTTCGGTTGGTGGGTGGGGTGGGGTGGGGGAGGGGGAGAGTGACTGGAGGGAAGGCCAGGGGAGATTGCTCGAACCGAATGGCAGAAACCCGCTCCTCGGCACTTCCCGGTTCAGTGAGACAACCTTGGCCGCACACTCTATGCGATCTTATTTACTGTAGTATACCTGCTTAGCACTACCGTACGTACAGTAACGGTTAGAGGCGTCCCACAGTACAGTTCACCGCGTGGGAATTGGGACGATACACGCCGACAGTGACAGTTTCTCCTCTCGACAATGATCTTCGACCCCAAACGATGTCCATTCGTACGTACTTGTCCTTCCCGTAGGATCGGGCGGCGCGTCGATAAGTACCGTACAGTGACTGTAAATGCCCATCCCTGCTTCTTTTGCGTTATGCGGAGCGGTGCAGTTCGGCTGACTGCGCTTCAGCACAGCGTATCGGCGCAATGGATTTTGCCAAAAGAAACGCCAGTTTTGGACCCACCCTAGGCGCCTTCAACTAGCGTTTGGGTGAAGTTTCAGGTAGAAAACCCATCGAGGGAGTCAGAAAGTCTTCATTCCCTCGACTTACCATCAGGCCAGTTTCTTCTTCCTCTTGCGCGTAGTAGTTCTTCCAGGAGACCCTAGTAGTAAACTCCTACCGTGGGAGAATGAGGCTGCTCCTTGTGCTCGTCGCGGTGCTCCTAACAGGTGAGAGCGCTATCGCTGGTACTGCGGTTCACAGGGTGCAGTGATTAATTCCCTGGTACGGGAACGAGGTCGTTTGTTTGCCGCTATCCACGGTGGATACCGAAAACCATAATGCTGCTAATGAATCGTAGTCCTAGACCCGCGGAACTAACAAATAGTATGGTAGAGAGAGCCAGTCGATCGGGTAGAAGCAAAGGCTAACCTGGTCCCTTGACTGCGTGTTCTGTCCGCGGCGTTTGCAGGTTCCGTGGACTCTCTCTGGAACAACCGCCCTGCGTCAGTCGCGGTGAGTACACCTTTCTTGACGATCACGATATGATCCGCCGCGTGATGCAGTCGCTGTATTCGTTGTGTGTGTCTTTTGTTTTGTTCAAGCGCTGTCGCAATCTTTTGGGTCTTGCTGAAGGTGTAACGGAAAATAACACACATGAAGCCAGGCTGGCTTGCTGGCTGAATGCCCAACACCAGCCAGCCTGGCGGGCGCTGGTGAATGGCGGAAGGCATTGCTAACGCGGAAGCAGGCGACTCTGATGGAAAGAATAAACAACTATTGTTTCCCCTCAGGGCTTCGGGGCTTGGGCCTGTGTTTGGGGTGAAGGGTTGGTGGGCTTGACAACACTTAGACTATCCTGCCTCACTGTACTTATAAAGGTCTCAACCCCATCTTCTCTCGTCTCCCTCCTCTGTCCTCCATTTCCTGTTTCCTTGCACTTCCCCCTTTCCGCCCCCCCCGTCGCTGCAGCAAGCTGTCACGTATGTGGTAGGCGGGACAAAGGGTTGGCCAGCAGTCGCTACCTGGAAAAAACCAGAGCTTTTTGCAAGAGATGTGCTGGGTAAGTGTGCCTGTCTGCGCTGTGACCTTGCAATGCTTCGCGTCCTTGTCTCAGCCTCTGCATGTAAGCGAAAACGTTGATATGGATTTTCTTTCCTTACCTTGCTTGTTTTCAGTTTTCAAATGGAAACCCCGGAGAACGAGGAAGGCTATACTCGGCCAAAAGCACAACCTTGCATTGGTGGCTTCTGTGGAAGATTTTAACGCGTGCAATGTCAAGAAGGTTCAAAGAGTGCTCGTGAAGTCCAGGAGGAAGGCCAATTTCTCCTTCATTTTAGACTTTTCCTCGACCTACTACCTGATCAGCACCAAGGGCAAGGACTGCAAAAATGGCATGAAAATCACCATCACTTCTTGATTAGTTCCAGCTGATTTGGACTCTATTAACCAGGACTAGATCCTAATTGTGGTTGCACGTAACATTCATGAATGCTAATATTTATTCTGAACTGAAGGATACAAGAACAGATATGTAGTTTGTTTGCGTTTGTAGAGATTATTGACCCTTACCGTACTTTCATCATAGCGCTAGTGACAAGCGGATAACTTCTATCGGGAAACCACAAAGCAGTGCATAGCAGAGAGCGAGAGATCGAATACCCCCCATTTTTCCCTCCCAAACACACCTTCGAAATGCCCCCCGCACATGACTTGGTCGAAATCGTTCGCAACTCCGTCAGCACGCACATTCCTACTCCTTGGCACAATCGCGACAGTTTTTTACCCACGTTGAGCAATTTTTTGTCAGCGGGCAGCACAAGGGTCAGTGAGGCTAAAGTTTCGCGCCATTGGGGGGAAGGTGGGGATGGAGGTTCCCGATGCGGTTGCGTAATTTCGCCTTTCGGGAACAAAAGTTTCTCGAGTGGCATTACGCCCAAACCTCGGAGGTGGGTTCCGCCTCCGTTTCCGGATGCGGTCGCGATGCCGATGCCATCTTTTTCATTCAAAACTTCGATTTGCTGGCGAACAGCACCCTGGAGTGAGCTTGATTGGTGGTGGCTCCGAGATTTCTCGATCAGAGAGGGCAGTTTTTCAGCAATCGAGCAGCCGGCGATCGGGTAACCGAGTTACCGCATATCGCCGAGAGTGGGCGAACCTCACGACTTCGACAGCCGCTTGCAGCTTGGAGAGTGTGATTTGCCGCGTCGCACGGCACAAGTTCCCCACGTGATTAGGGGCACCGCTACTAAGTGCTTCACCACGTTTCACAATACTACCAGTACTACGACTTGTGCTCGTAGTCGATTCTCCAAGGCCGAGCGCGCAGAGATTCTAACTCCCTTAGAACCGTCCCTCGTTTCATTGTAAATCCTACCGTACGAGAATCGAACACCCCTATTCTCAGCGTGACGCGCTTACGTGTATCAAACACTCTCGCACCGCTTTCGTGCTGGTAAGCGTATCGGGTAGTGCCAGCTGGCATGGAGGCTGCGCCATCCCGCGGGGCCATGCCTCCCCCTCGCGCTCCCGCTGATGCCAGGCCTCCGCCTTCAGCGGATTGCGCTCCTTCCGCGAATTCCGCTCCCTCCGCTCCTTCCGCGGCGATGCCTCCGCCTCCCGCGCGGGCCAAGGGGAAAGCAAAAACGGGAGGGGGGAGCGCGGAAGGGGAGTCTCCCGAGGGGATCGGAAAGGGGGAAAGCGGGGAAGGGGACACGTTGAAGGTCATGCGCAGCGTAGGCGCGAATGAGGGGGAAGATTCGCGCGGAAGCACAGCCGAGGAGGGGAGTACAGGCGGAAGCAGCGGAAAAGCGCATGAGATCCGGGATGCGGGGGAACCAGGTGTAGGTGGGGTGCTTGGCGGCAAGTCGAAAAGTGTAGATCATTCGCACTTAGCTAAACGTCTGGAACCTACGAGTACAGTAGATAAGAGTTTGGAAACGGGTGAAGAAGGAAGCGCGGCTGCTGCAAGCGTGGAAGCAGAAGCGGGTGATGGGAAGGCGGGAAAACCAGTGAGTGAAAGTGGTAACAGTGGCGGTGGCGACAGTGGCGGTGGTGAGAGCAAACCAGCGAGTGAAAGTGGCAGCGGCGGCAGCAGCGGAGGCAGCAGGGGCAGCGGCAGTGGCGGCAAGGCGCCGTATTCGATCCCTGATTGGGCGGCAGTTCCCAAGGTGGCGTTCAGACTGGAGGTGGTGAAGGATGGCACCGTGGCCGAGGAGATGGACGTGTGAGTGGTGCAGAGTGGCAGGGATGGGTGGGGATGGGTGGGTATGGGTGAGGTGATGATGGGTGAGAGTAAGAGTACCTGATTGGGCGGCAGTTCCCAAGGTGGCGTTTAGACTGGAGGTTGTGAAGGATGGCACCGTGGCCGAGGAGATGGCCGTGTGAGTGGTGTTGATGGGTGGTTGAGCGGTGGGGATGGGTGAGTGGTTGTGGTGTTGGGTGGGTTAGTGGTGATGATGGGTGGTGATGGGTGAGTGGTGGTGATGGTGCTTTCGTGTGAATTCTGGTGATGTTGATGACCTGAGGATTGAAAATGTCTAGAAGTGAGCAGAGCTTAACGTCCCCTCACCACCACTGCTCTCCCCGTCTCTGCTCCCCTCTCTTTGCATCTCTGCCAAGAGCGGATACATGTTTGGCCGCAATGAAAAGTGCAAGCAGTGATGAAAACTTCACGTTTCCTCACCGCCCTGCTCGCCTCTGCTGCCCCCCTTCTCGCAGCTGTGCCAAGAGCGCATACATGCTTGGCAGAATTGGCTTGTGAAACGTCTGAAAGCCCCTCGCCCCTGCTCACCCCCTCTACACCTTCTCTTCCTCCCTCCTCGCAGCTCTGCCAAGAGTGCGTACATGTTTGGCCGCATCGACCGCTGTGACTTCATGCTGCAGCACCCGTCCATCTCCCGCTACCATGCTGGTACTGGCGCGGTTGTAAACAGATGGTAACCAGGTGGTACTGGTGGTACCGAGGTGGTGGTAACATATTCGGAGCGTGATGCTAACATTTTGGTAACATGAGGGTAACTTGCTGGTATGGGGGTATTATTATGATGCATCGACCGCTGTGACTTCATGCTGCAGCACCCCTCCATCTCCCGCTACCATGTTGGTGTTCACGTGGTAACCAGGTGGTACCGAGGTAATACCGAGGTGGTGGTAACATATTCGGAGCATGATGTTAACATTTTGATAACATGAGGGTAACTTGCTGGTATTGACGGTATTATGATGCATTGGCCGCTGTGGCTTGGTGCTGCAGCACCCCTACATCTACCGCTACCGTGCTGGTACTGAGGGGATAATGAGAGGGTAGCAAGGGGCTTCTTGTGGCACTTGTTCGCGTAGGAGCATGATTCTATTCATACCGGAAGGCACTTGACCGTTATGACCAGTAACAGGGATTTTACCGCTGCGTCGTCCCTGCCTGCCTGCCTGCCAGCCTGCCTGCCGGCGTGCCGTCACTGTGTCTGCCTGCCTGTGTGCCTGCCTTCACTGTGCCGGCGTGCCGTCACTGTGTGTGCCTGCCTGTGTGCCTGCCTTCACTGTGCCGGCGTGCCGTCACTGTGTCTGCCTGCCTGTGTGCCTGCCTTCACTGTGCCGGCGTGCCGTCACTGTGTGTGCCTGCCTGTGTGCCTGCCTTCACTGTGCCGGCGTGCCGTCACTGTGTGTGCCTGCCTGTGTGCCTGCCTTCACTGTGCCGGCGTGCCGTCACTGTGTGTGCCTGCCTGTGTGCCTGCCTTCACTGTGCCGGCGTGCCGTCACTGTGTGTGCCTGCCTGTGTGCCTGCCTTCACTGTGCCGGCGTGCCGTCACTGTGTGTGCCTGCCTGTGTGCCTGCCTTCACTGTGCCGGCGTGCCGTCACTGTGTCTGCCTGCCTGTGTGCCTGCCTTCACTGTGCCGGCGTGCCGTCACTGTGTGTGCCTGCCTGTGTGCCTGCCTTCACTGTGCCGGCGTGCCGTCACTGTGTGTGCCTGCCTGTGTGCCTGCCTTCACTGTGCCGGCGTGCCGTCACTGTGTGTGCCTGCCTGTGTGCCTGCCTTCACTGTGCCGGCGTGCCGTCACTGTGTCTGCCTGCCTGTGTGCCTGCCTTCACTGTGCCGGCGTGCCGTCACTGTGTGTGCCTGCCTGTGTGCCTGCCTTCACTGTGCCGGCGTGCCGTCACTGTGTCTGCCTGCCTGTGTGCCTGCCTTCACTGTGCCGGCGTGCCGTCACTGTGTGTGCCTGCCTGTGTGCCTGCCTTCACTGTGCCGGCGTGCCGTCACTGTGTCTGCCTGCCTGTGTGCCTGCCTTCACTGTGCCGGCGTGCCGTCACTGTGTGTGCCTGCCTGTGTGCCTGCCTTCACTGTGCCGGCGTGCCGTCACTGTGTCTGCCTGCCTGTGTGCCTGCCTTCACTGTGCCGGCGTGCCGTCACTGTGTGTGCCTGCCTGTGTGCCTGCCTTCACTGTGCCGGCGTGCCGTCACTGTGTGTGCCTGCCTGTGTGCCTGCCTTCACTGTGCCGGCGTGCCGTCACTGTGTCTGCCTGCCTGTGTGCCTGCCTTCACTGTGCCGGCGTGCCGTCACTGTGTGTGCCTGCCTGTGTGCCTGCCTTCACTGTGCCGGCGTGCCGTCACTGTGTCTGCCTGCCTGTGTGCCTGCCTTCACTGTGCCGGCGTGCCGTCACTGTGTGTGCCTGCCTGTGTGCCTGCCTTCACTGTGCCGGCGTGCCGTCACTGTGTCTGCCTGCCTGTGTGCCTGCCTTCACTGTGCCGGCGTGCCGTCACTGTGTGTGCCTGCCTGTGTGCCTGCCTTCACTGTGCCGGCGTGCCGTCACTGTGTCTGCCTGCCTGTGTGCCTGCCTTCACTGTGCCGGCGTGCCGTCACTGTGTGTGCCTGCCTGTGTGCCTGCCTTCACTGTGCCGGCGTGCCGTCACTGTGTGTGCCTGCCTGTGTGCCTGCCTTCACTGTGCCGGCGTGCCGTCACTGTGTCTGCCTGCCTGTGTGCCTGCCTTCACTGTGCCGGCGTGCCGTCACTGTGTGTGCCTGCCTGTGTGCCTGCCTTCACTGTGCCGGCGTGCCGTCACTGTGTGTGCCTGCCTGTGTGCCTGCCTTCACTGTGCCGGCGTGCCGTCACTGTGTGTGCCTGCCTGTGTGCCTGCCTTCACTGTGCCGGCGTGCCGTCACTGTGTGTGCCTGCCTGTGTGCCTGCCTTCACTGTGCCGGCGTGCCGTCACTGTGTCTGCCTGCCTGTGTGCCTGCCTTCACTGTGCCGGCGTGCCGTCACTGTGTGTGCCTGCCTGTGTGCCTGCCTTCACTGTGCCGGCGTGCCGTCACTGTGTGTGCCTGCCTGTGTGCCTGCCTTCACTGTGCCGGCGTGCCGTCACTGTGTGTGCCTGCCTGTGTGCCTGCCTTCACTGTGCCGGCGTGCCGTCACTGTGTGTGCCTGCCTGTGTGCCTGTCTTCACTGTGCCGGCGTGCCGTCACTGTGTGTGCCTGCCTGTGTGCCTGCCTTCACTGTGCCGGCGTGCCGTCACTGTGTGTGCCTGCCTGTGTGCCTGCCTTCACTGTGCCGGCGTGCCGTCACTGTGTGTGCCTGCCTGTGTGCCTGCCTTCACTGTGCCGGCGTGCCGTCACTGTGTCTGCCTGCCTGTGTGCCTGCCTTCACTGTGCCGGCGTGCCGTCACTGTGTGTGCCTGCCTGTGTGCCTGCCTTCACTGTGCCGGCGTGCCGTCACTGTGTGTGCCTGCCTGTGTGCCTGCCTTCACTGTGCCGGCGTGCCGTCACTGTGTGTGCCTGCCTGTGTGCCTGCCTTCACTGTGCCGGCGTGCCGTCACTGTGTGTGCCTGCCTGTGTGCCTGCCTTCACTGTGCTGGCGTGCCGTCACTGTGTCTGCCTGCCTGTGTGCCTGCCTTCACTGTGCCGGCGTGCCGTCACTGTGTGTGCCTGCCTGTGTGCCTGCCTTCACTGTGCCGGCGTGCCGTCACTGTGTGTGCCTGCCTGTGTGCCTGCCTTCACTGTGCCGGCGTGCCGTCACTGTGTGTGCCTGCCTGTGTGCCTGCCTTCACTGTGCCGGCGTGCCGTCACTGTGTGTGCCTGCCTGTGTGCCTGCCTTCACTGTGCCGGCGTGCCGTCACTGTGTGTGCCTGCCTGTGTGCCTGCCTTCACTGTGCCGGCGTGCCGTCACTGTGTGTGCCTGCCTGTGTGCCTGCCTTCACTGTGCCGGCGTGCCGTCACTGTGTGTGCCTGCCTGTGTGCCTGCCTTCACTGTGCCGGCGTGCCGTCACTGTGTGTGCCTGCCTGTGTGCCTGCCTTCACTGTGCTGGCGTGCCGTCACTGTGTCTGCCTGCCTGTGTGCCTGCCTTCACTGTGCCGGCGTGCCGTCACTGTGTGTGCCTGCCTGTGTGCCTGCCTTCACTGTGCCGGCGTGCCGTCACTGTGTGTGCCTGCCTGTGTGCCTGCCTTCACTGTGCCGGCGTGCCGTCACTGTGTGTGCCTGCCTGTGTGCCTGCCTTCACTGTGCCGGCGTGCCGTCACTGTGTGTGCCTGCCTGTGTGCCTGCCTTCACTGTGCCGGCGTGCCGTCACTGTGTGTGCCTGCCTGTGTGCCTGCCTTCACTGTGCCGGCGTGCCGTCACTGTGTGTGCCTGCCTGTGTGCCTGCCTTCACTGTGCCGGCGTGCCGTCACTGTGTGTGCCTGCCTGTGTGCCTGCCTTCACTGTGCCGGCGTGCCGTCACTGTGTCTGCCTGCCTGTGTGCCTGCCTTCACTGTGCCGGCGTGCCGTCACTGTGTGTGCCTGCCTGTGTGCCTGCCTTCACTGTGCCGGCGTGCCGTCACTGTGTGTGCCTGCCTGTGTGCCTGCCTTCACTGTGCCGGCGTGCCGTCACTGTGTGTGCCTGCCTGTGTGCCTGCCTTCACTGTGCCGGCGTGCCGTCACTGTGTGTGCCTGCCTGTGTGCCTGCCTTCATTGTGCCGGCGTGCCGTCACTGTGTGTGCCTGCCTGTGTGCCTGCCTTCACTGTGCTGGCGTGCCGTCACTGTGTCTGCCTGCCTGTGTGCCTGCCTTCACTGTGCCGGCGTGCCGTCACTGTGTGTGCCTGCCTGTGTGCCTGCCTTCACTGTGCCGGCGTGCCGTCACTGTGTGTGCCTGCCTGTGTGCCTGCCTTCACTGTGCCGGCGTGCCGTCACTGTGTCTGCCTGCCTGTGTGCCTGCCTTCACTGTGCCGGCGTGCCGTCACTGTGTGTGCCTGCCTGTGTGCC